GGGGCAAAACAACCATTCCTCTTGAATTACCCTTACCACTCAAATTTCAATATTCCAGAAGCAATTTCTCACACTCCGCTCGGCGTAGTGATAAAATATTCAAGACACTAAACAGTTCTTAGCACTAAAATCAGGAATGCAACTGGGTATGTCAGCATAATATTAAAACGTTTAACAATATCTTCCACAAGATAAAAGAGCAGAAGAACGGGGGACATTATGAATCCAGCACTATCAGCCCTTTTCAAGAAGACTTCGCGCCAACTTGGTAAGTAATAATATGAAGATGACAAAGAACCCGTAGATTTCCCGCAAAACTCAATTATCATTCAGCCTGTTCCTATCGCTCTTGCTGATCTATGTGAGAAGACGTCTTTAAACTTTGGTCGATTTATGACGTTTATTGCAATTCTGATATGGTTTTTCACCGAAGAAGGTCCATTGTTTAGTCTTTTCACAGTTCGGTTACTCTAGGGATAACAGGTGAACGCGCTATTAGTTTAGTTGATATCATGCCGAACTACGGAGCGGATGGCCCTGGTTCGAATCTCCAATGGTCGTTCTGACTTTTGGTTGTTTTGAGGAGTTTTAAGAAAGCGCGTCTACCACCACAGGCATGTGCACGCTCTAATGCACGCACACGCAGGCACACGCACGCACGCACACCTCGCATTCATCTCGAATATCTCATTGCATAACTCATTCTGTCGTCTTCTCCTTTATTCTAACTTCTCATCCACATACTATTCATATTCAATCATCACCAAGTATTCATCGATTCATTTACCCGTTATCGCATCTTAAAGAAATTGTTGACTCATCTTCCGTTCAATCACATATTATATATTATGATGCATTCATTCATCTGTTATCTCTTTCGTCCCTTCCAAATTCGGCTCCTCGTCCTTACCTCCATGCTCTCCTTCTTCTTGATGCCTTCAGCTACTCCAGAGTTTGACTGACCAGCTAGCCTGGTCTCCCTATCGCGGTTCACACTGAACAGCTCGTCCATTTTCTCGTAATCCATTTCGATCTTCCCGCTGAGGCGTCCCACCATGGTCCACAAGTTGTCCTTGCCGATCACGCTGGTGGTGGGGATCTTCTGCCACTGGAGGGTCCTCATTTTAGACCGCGGTTTAGGGATGTTCGTTTGCGGGAGGGCAGGA